AGGGCTGCAGCCAGACCCTGCCCAGCTGGAATAAAGCTTTTCCTGGGACCAGCCAGCTGTTTTCCAGCTGCCAGAGCCTGCAGTAAGGCCACAAACCTGTGCTTGTGGTTCCAGTGGCCAGGGGCAGGATGTGCTGTCAGTGCCCTGCCTGCTGCAGCCCCAGAGCAGGGCAGGATCCCCCTGGAGCCCACAATCCCTGAAGGCAATGAGCTGGAAACAGCTCACTACACCCCTCCAAGGCAGGGAGTGAATAAAGGGCATCACAGCACCCCTCTGAGCTGGGTTTTGTGCTGAAAAGCCCCTTTTCTGTCTGTGCTGCAGAGTTTGCAGTGGGAATGGGGACACTGGGGGTGCTCAGGGGGGTTTTGCAGTGGGCAGCTGCACTGACAACACAGGAGATGCAGGTGGAGCTGCCTCACCTCACCAGAGGCAAGGCTGAGAGGAGTTACAGGGAATACCATGTGCACCCAACAATTATTCCTGACAATTAGAAGTGAACTGTTAATTCTTCATTAGCAATGACATGGGTCTCGATGCTGGTCAGGACACACCAATACAAGTGAGTACCAATGGCCTTGTAAAAGGTCTCCCCACCCCAAATTTGATGCTTTTACAAGAAAGAGATACTTCATCACCTCATGAGAACAGTAATGGTTTCTTGGGGGTTCATTCCAGGTTCAATTCAAACTCTTTGATATGAGCAGGCTGGGGCTGCCACATCAGGACTGTGACCCTTGGAACCTTTACAGCTGGTTACTGGCATGAGGCTGCCTAAGGAGAGACATTTTCACTGCTCAAAGCCCCAAACTTACCAAAAAGGAAAAGGAGAAAAGGAAACAAACCCCAAAATAAAACTAAGCAGCTTTGTTGGTAGAGTCTATACAATTTAATAGGGTTTTTTGTACTTTTTTTAAAATTTCTCATACTGGGGCAGGCACAAGGGCTTGTGTAAATGCACAAGCTCCCCCAACCCTGGCACATCTCCAGGAACCTCAGGGCAGCTGTGGTTACATCCCAGCCCACAGGTGGCCCTGGCCTTGTCACAATGTATTTGAGGAATGTTTGCTCCTTCCTTCTCCTCCTCACCCTTTCCTCATCCCCCCAACCAGCCAAGCACCAGCACCAAAAGCTTTGCACCTCCACATTCTGCTGGCCACCAGCTCCTGGTGGAAAAGCCAAAGGCACCCAGAAACCTGTAAATAAATCAGCAAATAACCCTGGATTCATTTCCCTGGCTGTGCTGATCCCTGCCATGGGCCCAGGGCTGGTTGGATGCCACCTGGAATAACTCAGGACCAGTTCTCTGCCCATTTCTGCTGCTGTACATCCAAACCAGCTCCTGGAGAGTCCAGGAGTGACAAGAGCTCAGCCGGGCTCTGGCCTCTCATCCTTTATCAAAAGCCATTTTTGATGGCAAAGCTCAGAGTTTGAAGATGCAGAGGCAAATCCTGGCCAGGGTGAGGACAGGGAACAAACACCCCCAACCAAACACCCCCAACCAAACACCCCCAACCAAACACCTCCGACCAAACACCCCCAACCAAACACCTCCGACCAAACACCCCCAACCAAACACCTCCAACCAAACACCCCCAACCAAACACTCCCAACCAAACACCCCCCAACCAAACATCCCAACCAAACACCCCCCAAGCAAACACCCCCAAGCAAACACCCCCAACCAAACATCCCCAAGCAAACACGTCCAACCAAACACCTCCGACCAAACACCCCCAAGCAAACACCCTCCAAGAAAACACCCCCAGCCCTCTCCAGGCAGCTCCAGCTCCCACCTGGAGGGGCCAGGGGACATCAAGGGACACCTGCAAACTTCCACCAAACCAGAGACCCTGTGCTTGGCAGGGCTGCCCCTGTCTCAGCTGAACAGCACAATCATTGAATCAGAGGCTCTCAGAGCCCTCAGTTTAACAGAGATGCAGAATCCCAGGTGGAGGAGGCCTCCCAGCACATCCAGCACCAGGAAAATGGAGCACTGGGTGTGCTCCAGGTGCTCTGTGTCCTTCTGGTGTGCCCAGGAGGGGGACAGGGGCTGCTGGGCTCTTCTCACCAAGGTTTGGAACCTCAGTGAATTCACCAGCTGGAAACCCCATTTTGCTTTTGGTGCCTGCCCATTGGTGCCTCATCCACATGGGACTCCTTTACATTCATGGGAGCTGCTCCCTCTTTATGGCAGCAGAACCCCATCCTAAAGCCCTGAATTCCATCCTAAAGACATCCCAAAGCACCATGACATTCCACCCTGCACTCAGCAACACTGCCCCAGCAAGTCATTTCAGGTTTTAAATCAACTTTGCTGCTGCTCAGCACGAGGAGGCTCCAAAATCCATCATCCCCCTGATGCCCAACATTGCCAAACTCCAGACTTTCCCAGTAAAAGGTTTTCTCTGTGGGAAACAGAACAAAAGCAGAACCAAAGCACTGCACTAAAATGGTCAGAGGTTTCCACAAGGCAACACATGGCAGAGCAACCTAAACCTCTTTATCCTCTTCCTCACTTCTCATTTCCTCTGACAAAACAGGAGGGGAAAAACAGCAAAAAAACACCTGGAAATTGCACTATTTTAATTTTGGGCAATGACTGAAAAAATGCCAATTCATCAAAATGGGAATTTTTTAGAGGAGATTTTTTAAGACTTTTCCTGAAACCTAACAAGTGTTGTTAATAGCTTCCACGGGCAGCTTTAGCATCTCAAAGAAAGAGGTGCTAGACCATCACACAAAAAGAAATTAGATTTTTATTTTACAGTAATTCTGAGCATGGAACGGGCTTGTATCACATCCTGGTGCTGCTGTGAGCTGGGTCAGGGCACTCAGGGGCCAGAACTCAGAGTTTGCCTTTGCCAAAGGGGCTGGAAATGAGTTTGGGTGAGCACCCAATGTCCTGCCCTTAACCCTTAACCTCACCTGGCAGGGGCTGTGTCCCAGCTTTAGCTCCTCCCATCCCAAATCTCTCTCCTCGTGCTGTGGAGAGCCACAGGGAAAAATTTTTCATTTATCCTCATTTGACTTTGGCAAAAATCATCAGTGCATCCCTCAAACTGAGACACGTTTTACATAAGCAACCAAACTCTAAAAAGAACATTGTTAAAATCAAGCTCTTCAGCAACAGGGAATTTATTGGAAAGCCAAGAAAATGCAACTTTTTTTGTGTCAAGGTTTCTCTGGAGCTGATTAGTAAAACTACCTTTCATCTAAAGATACAAAATGAGCTGCCCAGAGAAACAAATCCTGGCTTCTAGCTAGGGTGGTTGTAGAAAAACATTTCAAATGTTCACAATGTTTCAAAAAGGGTTTAAGCTGTTGAGTTTGCACACTGAGGAACTGCAGGGACCTGGCTGCACTTTAGAAACCAGAAGAAACAGAATGAGTAAAGTGTTTATATAAATATTAGTCTCACATATATATTTACTTTAAAACTTACATTGATTCCACATTGTGCCAACTGCCCATTCTCCAAGGAATTCATCGGAGAAAGGAAATGGAAAAAGAACCCCAAACCCACAAAACATAAAAACTCCAAGACTGGCCACCTCTCACAGGCAGACAACAACTCCAAGCCCCAGGCACACTTGGGAGCCTCAGAGCTTTCTCTTGTGCACTTGGCTCTGAGGAGCAAGAGATTCATTGCACAGACCCAGGGGCAAAACCAACCTGGAATGTCTGTACCCGGCCATAAAGTGACTCTGTACCCTCTGCAGCCACACAAAGCAAGAACAATTCTTCCACTATCACAGACTCACAGAATGTTACAGGTTGGGAGGGACCCCAAAGCTCACCCAGTGCCACCCCAGCCATGGCAGGGACACCTCCCATTGTCCCAGGGTGTCCCAGCGTCCAGCCTGGCCTTGGGCACTGCCAGGGATCCAGGGGCAGCCCCAGCTGCTCTGGGCACCTGTGCCAGGGCCTGCCCACCCTGCCAGGGAACAATTCCCAATTCCCAATTTCCCATCCATCCCTGCCCTGTGGCACTGGGAGCCATTCCCTGTGCCCTGTCCCTGCACACCCTTCCCAAAGTCCCTCTCCAACATCACAACAATTTCTCTACAGCAAAGCAGAATATTTGGGGTCTCCCAAGCCCCCCATGCCAGGACCCCGGGCAGGATCCCGCTGTGTCCCGAGCCACCCTGGATGTGCCACCCCACCCCTGCCCCTCTCCGGGGCTTGCCTGGCTTCTCCCTTTCTCCTTTCTCTATCAGTGAATGCACGATTCCACCTCCCGGCCAAAAGAAAGCCCAGGATAAAGGACACTTCATCATCATCATCATCATCATCATCACGGCCTCACCACCACCACAAAGCACAACGCACAGCTCGGGAATGTCGGGGCTGAGGAAGCGAGCTGAGGTGGCAGCGCCAGCAGTGACACGTGTGGTGACAGAGGCTCCTCTCTCGGGGACCCCGGAGCCCTCTTTGGATGAACCCCCAGCCCATGGAAACAGCGGGTGTGGAAGGGGGGACAGCAGCGCCCCACTGCCCTGCTGGGCCCTTCCTGGGCCTCCCAGATTTGGGGTGCAGGGCACCCCCCCTGCCTCGCCACCCCCACACCCAGGCCCTGCCCCCCACACGCTGGGGAGGGGGGGAAGGAGGGAAGGGGTCCCGGGTGCCCCCAGCCCTGCCACAGCCCCGACCAGCCCCGCCTCGAGCGTCCCTCACCCGCAGCTCCCCAAGCACAGAGGCGCGGGCAGCCCGGTCCCTCCTCCCCCGTTATTGCATAGCAGCATCGCAGGCCCTGATTGCGGGGGACGGGCACTGCCACCCCACGCTGGGGACCAGCCCCGCCGGGGGACGCGACACTTCCTGCCCATCCCTGCTCCCGTGGGATCTGCCCATGGATGTGCCCCGAGGCCCCCGCTGCTCCCCTGGCTCCTTACCCCGAGAGCAGAAACACGCCATCGTGCGAGGATCCTTTTTCTTTGCTTTTTCTCTCTTTTTTTTTCTATCTTTCTTTTTTTTTTTTTTTTTTTTTTTTGGTGTTTTGTGTTTTTAAATAAAAAATAAAATGTGTAAGAAAATAACATTTCTAAAGGAAACCATCATCATTCTACTCTCTCTCTTTCCTTTTCTCTTTTGCTGCTTTTTTTTTTCTTTTCTTTTCTCTTTTTGGCCATCTTTCCATGGAACGAGATGTGCTGACCGGGGAGGGGACTCCTCCCGGTAGGAGACAATAACGACAGAGGGGAAAAAGAGAAGGAGCAGGAGAGCCAGGGAGCGCCTCTGGCTGCGCGCTCAGTCCTCACACGTCGCTGGATGTCCTTGGTCTGGAGGAGAACGTGGAGGGGATGCACCCGCAGCAGGCCAGCCACAGCGACTTCTGGATGTCCGGGTTCCGGAAGGCGTAAATGATGGGGTTGATGAGCGAGTTGCAGGTGGCGGGCAGCGCCAAGGAGTAGGTGTACACCGCGGGGTAGCTGGAATCGGCCACCAGCGAGTAGATGGCGAAGGGGATCCAGCAGAGCGCGAAGGTGCCGAGGATGAGCGAGAGCGTGGAGAGCCCTTTGCGGGTGGAGGTGGCCTGCGCCGTGGCGATGAACTGGTGCTGCACGGCGATCTGCTGGGCGTGCCGGAAGGCGATCTTGCAGATCTGCAGGTACAGCTGCATCATGAGCGCGAAGAGCAGCAGGAAGGTGACGGCCAGCACGGCCGCGTTGTCCTTGGTGACGGGCCGCAGGATGCTGCAGGAGCTCTGGTCCCGCAGGCAGTTCCAGCCCAGGAGGGGCAGCAGCCCCACGCCCAGGCACAGCAGCCACATCAGCAGCACCATGGCGCAGGTGAAGCCCAGCGTGCGCTCGCTGTGGTAGGTGAGCGCGTTGTACAGCGACAGGTAGCGGTCCACGGTGATGGCCAGCAGGCTGCAGACGGAGGCGGAGAAGGCGGCCAGCAGCAGCCCCGCCGCCGCCAGCTCCGCCGCCTCGCTGGGCGGCCGCAGCAGGTAGCGCACGGCGAAGTTGGCCACCAGCCCCAGCCCGGCCAGCAGGTCGGCCAGCGCCAGGCTGCCGATCAGCAGGAACATGGGCGCCCGCAGGCTCGGCGTGTAGAACAGCACGGCCAGCACCAGCGCGTTCTCGCCCGCCACCGCCGTGCCCGTGGCGCACAGCGCGATGTCCCAGGGGCTCACGGAGCCCGCGGCAGCGGCCCCGCCGCCCGGCGCCGCCGTGCCCGGCCCGGCCGCCGCCGCCGAGGGCCAGGCTGGGGGCTCCGAGGCGTTGCCGAGCCCCGGGAGCCGCTGCTGCTGCTGCTGCGGCTGCGGCGGCCACGGCTCCCCCATGGCGGCGGGGCCGTGCAGCATCGCTGGGGAGAGAGGGAGAAGGGGGCGGTGAGCGACGGATCCCGAGCCCCCCGAGAGCCCCCCGAGAGCCCCCCGAGAGCCCCCGGAGAGCCCCCCGAGAGCCCCGCGCCCAGCCCGGGCAGCGCCGCGCCTCGACCCACGCCCGGAGCCCTGACCGAGCCCGGAGCGCCCGGGCCGGGACACCGCGCCCCGCACCGCCCCCGCCGCCGCATCCCCGTCAGCCCCACTGCAGCTTCCCAGGCACCGAGCCCCCCATCCCCGGCTCGCCGTGCCCCCGCCCCGCACGCACCCCTGGCCGCTATCTCCCGGCGGGCTGAGGCCGAGCACAACTCATCGCCCCGCTGCCCGCAGCCGCCTCCGTGCGCCCGGCTCCATGCAGGGTCCGCAGCCACTGCGCACCCGGTGAGGAACCGGCCGCCCCCTCCTCCTCCTCCTCCTCCTCCCCTCCCTGGGGCACGGCCACCTTTGCTACCTATTTATAGCGCAACCCCCCAGCCTCCCCTCCCGCAGCCCTTTCTTTTTTGCGTGCGGTGAGTAAAAATAAACACTATTAATAGGCCAGCGCCTGTATGCGGAGCCGCTGATGGAAGGAGAAGGCAGCGGCAAGGAACAGCCTACGTTAAGTTTCTCCTTCCTCCCCGCCTTTCCCTCCTTGGGAAAAGGCTGCTGCAGGATGCTCCCGGCCGGCGGCAGCATCCTGCCGTGCCCGCAGCAGCGAATCCCCCGCCCGGGGCGGGCAGCCGAGGTGTGAAGGTCGGGGCTGTGCCCGCTGCGGTCCCCGCCGCCACCATCGCCCCTTCCCGCATGCAGCCGCGCCGCCGGGGCTTGTTGTTTTACCTGGTTTTAATGCTCGAGGATCGGCTCGCTCCCCCCACCCCGTTTTTTTTATTTTTTTTTTCCTCGCCGGTCCTTCCAGCCCTCGGTGCGAAGCCTCATTCCTCGGCGAGCATCGCTAATAGCGTTGGCAGAGAGCTGGCATCGACTTGCACTTAATATTCCTGCCCCATTGGATCTGCTGATAAATCTCAACTCTGACGTCAAAGTCTTCACTTATATTCATGATCCAAGTCTGTGAATCAGAGGCGCTGTGATCAGAATAACAACAAGGCTGGCTCCGCGCTCGCTCCCCATCCATCCCCGCACACCCGCGGGCACGCCCCGCGCCCTCCGTTCATTCATCAGCCTCCCGCCAAGGTCGGGCCCGCTGCACCTGCGTCCTGCGGATGCAGCTTGGGCACCGGCCAGGCCCGGGCTCCTCGCTGGGTTTATTTTTACCGCTGGTGCCGAGGGACGCGGGCACGGATGTGAAGGGAGGGCGGCGATCCGGCTCCGGGGCCGCGGTGCTCAAGGACAGTGCCCGGAGAGCGGCACCGAGCGGGCACGGCGGCTGAGGCTGCTCGGGGATGCAGCCCCGACCAGGGGCATCCCTCGGCCCCGGAGCCCTCACCCCACACGGGCTCCCTCCAGCCAGCGAAACGCTGGGATGAGGAGGAGCTCACGGGAATTGGGACCTGCCCAAGGACGCTGAGTATGGGGTCTGTCCCCCTCAGCGCAGCACCCACCCATCCCCAGAGCTTCCTCCCCGACTGTTTGGGAAAGGAACAGCCTGGAAAGGAACAAATCCCAAAGACACGAGTGTTTTTCCAGCTATAAATGGCTCCGTGATTCATCTCGGGAGCAGGATCATCAAAGCAGGGATGCTCAGCTCCTGGATCCACAGCATTTCAGATACACCTTCTCCCCTGCTTCCTATTGGTTTCATAACACTCCAGCTTCCCCCTTTCATCCCCCTCTCTCTCCCAGGCTGCTGCAGCCTGCTCAGCGCTGCATTTCCAGCTCCCGGTGTGCAGAGATATTTGGGTGAACAGCAGCGATTGTGGCTGAACCCAGCCGCCCCAATTTGGAGCATCTGGGTTGCTAATCAGGCCAAGCCCCGTCCCGGGGGATGCGAATCCTCATCTACCTGGGGCCGCGTCACCGAGCGCGGCACAAGGGGCGGAGGAAAGCCGAGCAGCGAGGAGCTGAATGAATGAATGAATGAATCGGATCCCTCCCGCTGCCGGGAATTACGCACGGCCGGGGATGGGGAGAGGCTGAGCAGCCCTGCCAGGCTCCCCCGGCAGCAGCTCAACACAGAGGTATGATGAGTGTCTTATCCTGAGAAATTCAGGGCCAAGAAGCACAAGCGGGGACTGAGCTCCTGTTTCTGGCAGAACATGTGGCACAGCTGAGTACCAGGCTTTCATGTCACTTAAAAGCAGGAGCTTCAGATGACACAGAAAATCCGGTGAATATGAGCCTATTCCTTCATCATACAAAATAAAACCTGCCAATAAGCAAAAGAAAAATTTGTCTTTAACTGGGATCTTCCCTTCCCTTCCCTTCCCTTCCCTTCCCTTCCCTTCCCTTCCCTTCCCTTCCCTGACACAGAAATCAGCCCTGGGGCTGGTGTAGGTGTAGTGGTGTAAAAGTATCCCCTAAACCAGGGGTAAAGGTGGCAATATTTCAGAAATTCAGATAGCATTGTATCATCAACAGCACTTTTTTGGACTCCTTCTGTGGTTATCACTTGATTCCATCCAGGCTGGGAGAACGGTGTTTGTGAAGCATTTCTAAAGGAGGTGAGAGGATAACGGGAATTCCAATCGCAGCTGATCTCAGCCACTCCCCTGCTGCAGGGAGCGCTGGCGGCAGAGGCGGAGGGGATGCTCCGGCCGTGCCTGGTGCTCTGTGGGGCCGGGCAGGGCTGTCCCCGCTGTCCCCACCCGCAGGGCTGATGAGGATGGGCACACCCAGCACACACCCTGTGTGTGTGACCCGGCCTGGCCCCTGTCCCCTGAGCTGCCCCTGGCAGGGACACTGTCAGCGTTCACAAACACACAATCACAGAATGGTTTTTATAGAAGAGCTCTGGGTGTCAGGGGTACAAACCCAAATCTGACCCCGACATGTTTTTGTATTCTATCGTTATATAACTTTCATGTTAGTTATTAAACTGATATTGTTCTATTGGATACATAGATTTCATCCGAGCATGGGCTCCTCGTGGTCTCCCTCAAATTTCTAACATAGTTTCTCATGATTCTTCTAATGATTAAACAATAATATGTTTAATTACTAAACAATCATCATATCTAACGATTATATCATTTATCATATACTGCTTAAGCAGGTGTAATTTCACATGATCCGGCAAACGCAAAGCCTCACATTTTCAGAGTCTATTTTTGACATTTTTCCAGGGCCCCACTAAGTCTAGCTTCTTTTAAACTCCCCGAATTTTATGATTTTGAAACCTTTTACTGTCACACAAGTGCTCCAGAGGGTCCTGGCTGATCCCAAACCCCGTGGGTGGCTGCAGCTGCCTTGGCCCCATCCAGCATCCCACCTTTCCTGCCCTCTCCCCTCAAACACCCACAGCAGCCCCTTCCCTCCCACCTCTCGCTCCTCCCCTCGCCATCCCAGCACAGATTTGCCCTAGTCCTGGGATGTTTTTGCTGTGTCCTACAGGAACACCAGTCCTGGCAGCGTTACCCCTCTGGGCTCCAGAAATTCCCTTTCCAAACACACATCCCAGTGGATTTCAGCCAGCACTGGGAGCTGCTTGTCCTCCTATCCAGGGAAAAGCAGCCCCATCTCTCCAATGGGATTTTTTTTGGGGTTCCCCTGTGCAAGGGGGAGCAGTGGATTGGAAAAGACCCCAAGAATGCTGAGATTTTTTGGTGACAAATATGACATTATCTTGCTGTGCCCAGAGCAGCCCTGTTGCACGTGAGAGGATGGGGCCACTGCATACCCTGTTTTCAAGGCTTGACAATCTACTTTTTCAAGTTGTACTCAATATTCTGAGCTCCCTGAGTAACTGCAAGACCATTCTGGGAATATTCATATTGCAGATATAGGAATTTATCAGTATTTAAATTACAGGCTCAATAGAGAGGAGCAAAGATCAAAGCTGAGCAAAGACACAAGCCTGACACTAATTACAGAGCAAGAGGCCACCAGCCTCACCTGGGAATGCTGTTCAGCATGGAAAAGGTCTCCCACCTTCATTCCTCACCATCCTCCTTGCATTTTGGCCCTTGGGAGAAAGCTCAGCGCTGAACAAGGCAGGTTTTCCTGTGGGGATGCTGGGTGCTCCCAGCCCAGAGCAGGGCTTCACCTGGGGCTCATCTTCTCTTAGAATTTCTGCTTTTCTGGTTAAAACCAGTGGGTGGCAAGTTAAAACCGGGCTGGCAGTCACTGATGACGTGGCTGTCCCAGGCCCATTCCACTGGGAACCAAAGCTGGAACAAAAGTTGCTGTTTAAGGCACACTGGTGGTACAGAGGGATAACCACAACTCCAATTCTCCAGCATTTTCACCTCCACAAGTACCAAAATCAGCTTTACATCTTTGCTTTGGGGAAACATCTTCACCCTTGGCATCCCACCAGCTTTTCCCAGCCCAGCTCCCACTCCTCTGGGAGCATCCTGTGGCTGAGCTGGCACATCCATGACTCCCTGCCTTGTGCCCCCCGAGCCAGGCTCAGAGCTGAACATTCCCCGCATTTCATTCCTCTTTTCTGCAGTGAGTGGATCCAGCCTCATTCCAGCACCTCCCTTGTTCCTGTTACTCCAACGGTGCTTGAGGAGCTGGAAGCAGGAAAAGCTCAGCTATAATTAGCAGTGCTGACTAATCAGGGTGGCAAACAAGCCCTCCCCAAAACGGGGCCGTGGGGGCTGCGCTGCTGCGAGCGATGGAGCCCTACATTCACAGGCTTTGCATAATTCCTGGTGGAAATGAGGCCATTTTCTCACTGCTGCCACTGGAAAGATGGGAATTCTCCAGCTGCAGCACCCCAGCCTGGTGGGAAGGACCAGGGCTCCGTCGTGGGTTGGGGTGGTGGAGATGTAGGTGCCAAAGCCAGGCATGGGAGGGTGGCAGGCAGGAGTGTGGCTGATGAAATCATCCAGCTCTGTGGAAAAGCTGCTGATTTGCCTGAAAATCCCTCTCCAGGTGGCTGGGGTGGGCCCTTCCAGGTCCTGGCTTGCAAGGGTGACCTGTGCCACAGCACTGCTGCAAGCCTGACTTTGCCTCTTGCAGAGCCACGGGCGGATCTTTGGCTCTGCCAGCAGCAGGAAACTCCTTCCTGCCCCTTCCCTCTGGGCTGCCCAGCCTGGGGACAGTGGGGACAGGGGGGACAGCGTGTCCCACTGCCCTGGTGTTGAAGATTGCAAAGCAAGATGTTTCCTATTCCCATCTGTATGGCAGATTACCTTTGTCAAGTGGGCAGTTTGCCTTTTCTCTCTCTTTGAGTGACCACATTCACACCTCCCTGGAGGGGACATTGCTGATAACAGCTATTGAATGTCCCTGCATGGCTGATAAGAACTACAGCATCCCATTGGGAGATGTGAGCCCAGAGGGAGGAGCCAAGCATTCCTACCCAGATATAATCCAGAGGTTTGGAGACACCAGCACGGCTTCTCCACTGGATTCCCCAGAGGAACAGCAGCTGCCTCTCCTTCCACTGCATCTTCAGAGGAAGAATCCATCCTTCTCTACAGGATCCCTGCTCCAGCAGAACCAGCCCTGACACTGCAGGAGGGCTGAGCCACAATTCCAATGGGACTGCTGCCAACACCCTGACCCACAGGGTGTCAGGTTGGGTTCTGACTCTGGCAGTGCTGTTCTAGTGTACTGCATTGTTTATTTTATCCTTTTATTTTTTTTCCTTTCCCTATTAAAGAACTGTTATTTCCTGCTCCCATATTTTTGCCTGAGAGTCCCTTAATTTAAAATTTATAGCAATTGGGAGGGGTGGGGAGGGTTTACATTCTCCATTTCAGGGGAGGCTCCTGCCTTCCTTAGCAGACTCCTGGCTTTCCAAACCAAGACACCTGGTGCTGTTACACATGCAGGGAACATTTCCCATTTAGGGGGACAGTGCCTGGCTGTGCCAGGAGGGAAGAAGAGATCCCAAGGCTCACTCCAACCTCCCCTCCTCATTCCCACCAAACAAACACTCAGCCAAGCCAGGGGGAGGATTTCTGCTCCTTCCATCAGTGATATCATCCCCACATGAATGGTTTTGCTCCAAGTCCTTTCCTGAGCTCCACGTTTTGGAGCACCTTTGCTGGCACATGCTGTGTCACCATATGTCACTGAGCAGGGCTTCTGGGAAAAGAGGCTTTTTTGTTTGTTTTTTTAAGGTTTTTTTTTTTTGTTTTTTTTTGGGTTTTTTTGTTTGTTTGGGGTTTTTTTGTTTTGTTTTTTTATTTTTGGTTTTTTGTCTTTTTGTTTGTTTGTTTGTTTTTGGGGGTGTTTTTTTTGGGTTTTTTTTTTTTTTTTGGTTTTTTTTTTTTTTCCCAAATAAAGGGGTTTTGCACTGTGTTTTGCTCCCTCTCCCAAGCTGTATGTGCTGCTCTGGCTGGGTGCCTCACCAGGAGTGACTGTTTCCCTAAACTGCCATTTCAGCCATTGGGAACACCAGGAGCCTGCAGAATATTCAGCAAAATATTCAGCAAAATATTCAGCAAAATATTCAGCAAAATATGAGTGTGACAATTAATAATTAACAATAACCCAATTTACCTGATGTGGCACAGAGGTGAGGAAGGTTTTCTAGGGGTTTGGATGGGGAAAAATAGGAAAAGTCCTTAAAAAACTAGAAAACTTGGAGGTTTTTGATCTGAGTGCTGAGCAGCCATCCCTCCCTGCTGTGCCCCTGCCACCAATGGGAGTTTTCCAAAACCAGGCTTGGAGTGAGCAGCCCTGAGCACCAAACCCTGGAGCCACAGCAGAGAAGCAGCTGTGAGCACCAGGAAGGTCCTGGCTCTGCATGGAAAACCCCTCAGCTTCCCCAAGGATACCCAGCGCAGCTGGAATCCACAGGCACCGAGTGTGGAATCCATGCAGGGATGGATTTGCTGCTCCATCCAACCCCTGAAACCCCTGGTGATCCCTCCTGGAGGACTGGCACGGAGAACATGAGGTTTTCCATGGGGGAACACGAGGTTTTCTATGGGGAACACAAGATTTTCCATGGGGGAACACGAGGTTTTCTATGGGGAACACAAGGTTTTCCATGGGGGAACACGAGGTTTTCCATGGAGAACACAAGGTTTTCCTTGGGGAACACCAGGTTTTCCATGGAGAACACAAGGTTTTCCTTGGGGGAACATGAGGTTTTCCATGGGGAACACGAGGTTTTCCATGGGGAACACGAAGTTTTCCATGGGGAACACATGGTTTTCCATGGGGAAAACCCCCTGTGGTGACCCTGGAAGCACCTCCAGCCCTCCCAGCTCC